AATGTTTGCTTTAATTTTTAAAAGAACTGTTACTACTTAAAAGAACTTGTTTGAAAACACTTGTTAATATTTATTATTATTACCCAAATAATTCTTTTCTTTAATATTTTAATCTAATAGATAAGTAATACTTTAGTTAATTGCTTCAAATTTCCGAAAAATTGAATTACTCCAATTTTACCGGTCTGGTATGTAACTTTTACTTTCAATCAGTTCACTTTGATTAAGCCGAATACTCATGCGCAAGTCTGATGAACCTTTCACTTCACCTACCGCTAGACGTCGCTGAACATTGTCGTCGTATGGATCGCGAAGAGGGTAGTTACCCTTTCCGGCGTGACCTAAAGAGAATCCGGCCTTAATTCTCGGACAGTGAAAAGCGCCGTAGTTGTCGCGGCATTTTCTCGTTATTCAAAGCAACCCCTTATACTTGGCCGAATGCGCAGTCTACGTCGGGGATGCTGCCAGGGGGCGCACATCCACACGCACGAAAATTCGCCTTGTGCTCTTTCGTTCTCTCCGTCATAACTTAGTTTACAAACCGTAGCCTACGATATAGTGTCAACCTCGTGCATGGTGAGTGACGGACGAAAAAACTCCAACGTAAGTTACTCAGGATTATAGCTTTACTAGAACACCATCATCTCTTTGCGTTTAGATTAGCAGTATCAACTATGGTTAGTACAGCTAGTAATATAATAACGATTAAAGCATTCTCCAGGCTACGTTATTCTTCTTTTTTTTAAAGCGAATTCTGTACATTATTTATGTACAATTTCTTCGTATACGAGCTTTTAGACCTCGTTTCAAGAAGAGACTTGTGATAGAACTCAAACGTGTAGTTTCTTTTTTATTTACTGCACTTTTTTTTAGATAGCGCGCTAACAAAAAAAAGGTGCTTTGTATCAAGTATTTATCTATTAAAATCCTAAAAAGTTATCGATTTCTATCGCGTCGATTTATCCAAAGATGCATATTTCGTTGTTTATCAAAGTCACTGAAAATTGCATAAAATAAGATTGCACATGGCATAATTCTAATTTAACAGCTCACATGTGATGATATTTAAATATAAAAAATAAGTGTTAAATTTTTAATAATTTCACGGTTTACTAAAAAATATCAATTAAATTTAATTATTTCGATGGTTATCGAATAGTTTAAAAATAATATAAGTTTACAATTAAATTTCATTATACATGCATAGGAAAAACCATTCAGATCAAGGACGGTACGGGAAAATACATTGGGGACAATGCGCCAGAATTATATAATCCCACTTAGTCCTTTTTCTTAACAAGGATCCAAAGTCATAAGTTTATTGCAAAATCTACTTTAAATTTTAATTATCATTAAATTACATGAATTTTAGTAATGGCAGACAAAGTAATAAACAGCTTTTAAAAGAATCTGAAAATTAAATTCTTGTAAACTTAAAGAATAACGGTCACTAATCGATTTCTCTTTATTTCTAATTTTTCGTCTGTTTTATAAAATAAATCCTTAAAGGGATTTAAATATTAAGAGATTAAAGCTCAGAACTATTATTTTTTACAACTTCAAATATTCGAATCTTTGACAGAATTCGAAATTAATTCAGATTTTGAAATTAATTCCAAATCTTCGAAGTTTATTTTCAGCTTAGAAGTACTTAAACTTCGAAGGTTAGCTTTGAAAACTTCGAAGCATCTTATAAACATCGAAGGTTTGGAGTTAACTTTGAAAAAATTTGAATTGTTTGTAAATTTAAAATCTTCGAAGTTATCAAAAGTAACAGCCGCAATTAAAATATTGCGTTAAGAAAATTTTATAATATTGCAAAGAAAAAAAGCTGCTAAATGAAATTTGAATAGGTATTTTCAAATATTTTCTTTTATTTTGTTAATTTCATCACAAATTCTTTATTTATATTAAAAGATTGAAATTTTAAACAAATTCAGTAAAATTGATTCTTTTTGGTCCTTTTAATTCTTCGTTTACTTTAAAAAGTAAATCTTTATTAGAAAAGAATTTAAATATCATGACATTATTCTTTAAATCTTATATAACGCTAACACTATGAGAAAAAAACCGTTAATAATATAGTTTATCGAAGAAAATCAAACGAATCTCGACGTGGTTTATATAAATATTGTCAAACATCTTTCTTTACTTCATCATTTTCTTTATATACGAATGCATTTTCGTTAAGATGATACTAATAGATCGGAGATTTATAGATTAAGGTTTATAATATATACCTATATATATATAAGTAACTGTTATATAAACGGTTGTATAAATACAACATCGATTTATTTACGATCGTTATATATTCCAATCACCTTGTTAGCAGGATACATTGAACTTATAAATCGATCAATAATTAAATCTTTTTAATGACACAATCTAAAAATCAATTCTATCGCTATAATTTTATAAGGATACAATAACTAGAAAAACTTAAAAAAAAAGAAGAAATATACATCACATGCATAAAAAAGGTATTAAATATTACATCCTTCCTAATAAAAAATGGATATGAAATAAAAGCAATTAGCCAAGTATTTCATTACTCAAAAAAGGATCTCGAAAAAGCTTATTTGTAAAAAATCTGTTAATTCTAAGAGCCATGAGATGAATTGAAAATGATTAAATAATCAACTAAATTATAAAAAACGGCGTGCTCGTGGCGAGATGCATTAAAACGCAACATTTCAGGATTAATATCAGGTCAAGTTACGAAAATTATTTCCAATACGAGTGAACAAAAAGATTATTACATATAGTATCTCTGCAGATATATGTAATACATAAAAGCAATAATTTGATAAGAAAGAATTGTTAATAATTGTTTACTAATATTGCAAATTTGTTATCTTCAATGATTCTACATCCAAATATTATCAATGTTGTATTACGTATGATTTCTATATATATGTGTGTGTATAATAAATTCACATCATGTTTAGTTTATAGATATATTTATGTCTCACATATACTATATGTCATTAATGTGTCCATTATTCTTATATTTCCATAATACAAATACTGCGTTGTGATAATATTCACAGAAATGCAATTAATGAGATTTGAGGCCCTATTCTGTAACTTTCAACGGCAATGTCGATATTGTTATGTCATTGCGCAGCTTTCTCGCCATACGTATAAAATATCTGTGCAACGACACTGTAACGATATCGATACTATTGTTAAGAGTTACAACAGAATAGGGCAGCTGGACATGCCAAATTTTTTTTTGCAATCCAGTTGATTAATTACTTTTAGTCTTTGCATCTTAGAATTAACAATTAATAATTTCATTAAAAACTAGTTTTTTTTCCCTTGAAGAAAAATAGAACATATCACTTCCTCACTTCAAAAGTGGCACAACTAAAAAAATTATTAAATTTTTTAGAAAAAGGGAAAAACTATTTTTCAATTTGACAGAAAATTATTAACTGATTAAATAATATCGACAAAAAAAATATATTCTTAACATAGTTAAATGTCTTTTTCAATTTTTATCATTTTTATTTCGTAACACTTACAAACTATCTTTTTTAATAATGTGACAATTTTGATGATTTTTAATAAAGTTAAATTAATTCACTTTTGATGATTAATAGAATTAATATGATTACTTAACTCATTTATGATCATAATTCAAAAAACACGTTTTTTAAATTGTTACTTTTAAAATAAGGGAGCATTATTTAAATAAATCGAGAAAAATAACAGTATTTAATTTTGATACGAATTGTATTGTTTTCTTTCAACATGTGTTTTACAAAACGCGTTACACCTCATTTAATCTATCACTCTCTCTGACGGTTTCGAACTCTAATTTTATCAGCGCAGCCTCCGAATACTTTCTCGTTGCTTCGCACTCGATGCACGCTAAGAATTCCGTCCGTCATAATTTTTTCAAACTCTTTAGTGGATTATACAAATATCTTAGCGGTCACGAACTATGTTTTATCGTCACGGAAACACTTATTAATTATGTAACACAGTTCTCGAGCTTGTAAACTATAAAGATAAATGTTGACGTCTGTGGAAATATGAATTAATGTACAGATATAAATCAACCACTTATCGATTTATGCGAACGATGACTAAAGCCATTTTAAATATTGATTTCATCCCGACATGCAAAGCAACAATTAAGAAAATATTTATGTCATAACAACGTTTATATCATAACATCTCTTATTTAATATGATAAAGAGCGATTTTTTCAAAGATCATCATCTCATTTCTCTTTCCTTTTCTTTCAATTTAAACGATATACAAAAGAAAATTGTGTGAGAAATCAAGATTAATACTGTAATAATTTATAAATGTCAAGGAATATTTGTAATTTTCAACTATAATGTACTACAATAATAGATACTGGAAGTACTTCTCTTAATAGAGCTTGAGCCTCTCCCCGTCACAGTCGCTATTATTGCGCTTTAGAGTATTCGTCACATAAATCCCCATATTTTCTGCATACTACCAACACATGCATATGTATGCGCATACCGAATAATTTTCCCTCACATTGTTTATCATTACTATAAGACTCCTCATATTACAAAATTTATATTAATATCACAGTAAAAGCTTAATTTTATTTTTTACTATCGTTATTAAAAAGGGCGCGTTTTTTGCACTTTTATTTATACATTTACTAAACATTCTTTGTCGCTCTTTTTGTTAAATCATAGATATTATCTAGTAATAAATCGTTTTTCCAAGCAATGTCAACGAAACAAATACCGAATTGCCAAAACAAAAAAAATCTGTCATTACAAATAAAAATTTAAATCGTACAAAGTTGAGCGGCAAAGATTGATCGCGCTATTCTCGTATTTCTTTTGAATTACCTTTGTACGACGTAGACACAAAACGGTGCCTAAATCTCTGCCCGCGTGCACTTACGGGATGCCGTTTTAACTGACCGCAATCACGTGACTAGCTATGCTGAATGCGTATACCACGATAGAAATTGAAGTGGTTCGGGGCAGTTGCGAGACAACCTCAGTCGGTCGCTGACGTATTAATACTCGCGGGGCAGTTCCTTTCATATAGAATCGGATTACATCCGGGGGTTGTAGTCGCGTTTACGGATGCATTTAACCCGGTAAGTCGAATCCCCCAGTCGCTCCATCTATGTCGAATCGAATATCGATTGGAATGCTTTGGCAACAGTCCATCTTCATAATCTTCTGATTGCGAAATAAACTTTATTGTTTTTTTTCTCCTGAATTATTTTTTTTTGTTTGTTAAAGTATTTCTCTAAAAATTGTTATAATTAATCCATTTTAAATCCATTTTTTAGTTCTAATCAGGTACTTGTTGATCATAGTTAAACTTTAAAATAACCATATTATCTATTACGATTCTCCTACCAACCAACGATCCCTATTATCAATGATAATGCATTCAACAATTGGCCTAACAATGCGTTAGATCTTCTTTCAGTGGCATTCAATCGGTCATAGAAAGCCATTATGCTATAGTTAATATCCTAAGAATTTGTTATAATGATTGAATTAAATGATTATTTTTACTAAATTTTATTTTTAATTGTAAATAACATTATTGTATATTGTGCGAAAGAAATTATTTGTGAAATTGACATTGTTCTTTTCGTAAATTATTTTATTTATTGATAATGTTACTTATAATAATCAATAATTAATTTCTTGATGTAATGTATTTCTAATTGAACATTTGAAGATAACTCTTCTAAAATTTTTACACACTTAATTTTTAATCAGCTTCGTTTTACATCAGTTTATATAAAATACTTGTTCAACACGAAATCATAAAGCAATTTCAAAATATGTTTAAAAATCGTAAACATAAAATAAAAATATATCAACTCCTTGGTAATCTATGGTTTTGATGGTAGAATTAATTTCTTGTTAAGAAAATAAATTTACAGAAAGGGAAATAATTTATAGGCAGAAATTAAAATGTAATAGTTTGATTTTTATATTTATTTGTTTTTTCTATGAGCAATAATTGATTATAATTGTATCGCATTCATATAAAAATGAATTAATGTGATTTAAGTGATTTACACTATACTAGCTTACTTAAATTCAATTACTAATGATAACAAAACCGATTCCTATTCTTTAAGATTGCTGCACCTGTCGCCAAGTCAGAACACAATTGTTCTAAAGTTCTAATGAATAGAATTCTTACTTTAACGCTGTAAGCAATGAAATGATAACTATTAAGCTCGATAAAAGAACTGTTACGCAATAGTTGAACCATTTATCCGATTCAATTGATATTGCGTTGCATTAGTGATCCGTTAAGTCGGCAAATGGCAGCAACAGGTTTTCTAATTGTACAAAAAGACTTTGTCACCATTTAATGCCAATACTGCATTTACGTCGAGTACTTTGGAGCACTTATCATTTTAGAGGAAATAATTTACAAACTGTACCTTGTTCTAAAATTTTGCAAACAGTATATTTTTTTAAATAATATATTAGTGGAACGAAATTTTATTTTCTTGTATACATAAAATATTGCGACGTAACATTTTGTACAATATTTTAATTTTGTTCATGACTGCAATTTATTTGAATTCTGTTAAGAAAAGGATATTATCCGTATATTGGAAAACAATGTAATGAATTAGGAAATATTATTTATTTTAATTGGTTGGTCTATTCGCATCTTAATCTTTGCTAGACTAGTACATTTATCAACTTTTTTATCCAATTTGCATCGGGTAAATTTAACGGTGCGCGTCAGCGATACAGAATTCAACAGATTGAATGATTAAACGGATGGAAGAGTACTGACTGCGAGTCTCGAAGTAGTTTAACCATATCGTAATACGCATCATTTTAAACTGAATTATTATCAGCGTTGTTAATACTATATAAAATTTTTGCATCAAACTTTATTTCTCAAATCGGAATTAATTTGATGTTTCTTTCCTGAACATTCTCGTTAAAAATAAAAACGTTTCCTTAAAGACTATTTGTAGTAGAAAATTGTAGCAATTTTGTATTATGTGTATTAATTATACGATTTAATATTTATTAATTATTGGATAACAGAATTACACTTTGTGTTATGAGATTTCTATTTTAATATCTAAATTTTTATGTATTTTTAGCTACTGAAAAAAATATACAGTTAAAAGAATTTCGTTACCTACTGATTTTGAGAAATCAAGAACTTTTTTTTGTGAAAAACTTCTACAAACTTAAATAATTTACAATATTTCTTTCATTATATATATATATATATATACGAAGTTAAGTACACAAGAATCACTATTTAAGTGTTGAGAAACAGAAACCTTATGAGTTAGTGTAATTTTTTGTCACTAAATATCACTTAAAATTGTACATAAACAATAAGAAGGGATTTATATTATCACATTTATTTTTACATATTGTAAAAAATATTTAAATTTTTTACATTACATATATTACAAATTTGTGTTATTAAATAAATAATTTAAAGCGTTATTACAAAAAAAATTTTAATCTTTCTAAAAATTAAAGGATAATGAAATTTTTAAAAACATCCTTTTTTAGTGTAAATTTAAAAGCAGCCATTACTTGTTAAAAAACAAAAGTTGATTAAAATTTGTTGTATTATTACTGACTTGATAATAAATTTATTTTACTTAATCAGTATATGATTAATCAATTTTACGAACGATTCGAAAATAAACAATTATGATATAAAAAAATATTTTTGTAATAGAATTATAATTTCAAAAATATTTTTGCTTTATCTATAATAACATAAAAATATACGAAACAAATTTCCTTCTGTATACATATATCCGTGTCCTCATTTCTCATGCTTTCAAAATAGCATAATACTTGTTAAGATAGTTTTGGCAGAGGAAACTCTCTTCTGACAACTTAAAATTAGTGAATTGACAAGGTATATTCCAGTCATATTGTATCAAGCATGAAGCTACATAGCTCGCTAGATCCCCCCATATACTGAGGAAGTAAGAATTAGGAGGACTGATTGTAATACTTAAACGACTAACTCGCGTATATTTAATGTACACTTAGGCGAATATTCTTGTTAACAAATCTTATATAATAACAATCGTATATAATATTAGCTTTTCACTTCTTTATACATATATTACGATTCATTTTTATGTTATCACATTGTTATTGTACTATTATTATGTTATTATTAATATTATTACTTTTCTAATTAATTTTTACGTTAATTATATCAACGATTTGTAAGCAGCATTATTATCGATATCTTACTTCTTGAGATACTGCTCTACGTGATTTACTTTTACGCATAATATCTCATATTTTCTGCATTTTATAAAAATTATTATTGTTATTTTCAAAAGATCGTGCAAATAATCATGTGTTTGCATTTTAAAGAATTTTAATGAAACAGTTACTTATAGACATGTTAATGTAACTGACAATGAGTTGTATTATCACCTAAGGTATTTTTTCTGGTTTCTATTATAGGTGTAAAGAACTGCAAACGAAGGAAATCATAATCTATGCCAGCGATTGCTAAAAGTTGATTGGAACTATATAGGTGAGTCAGTCTATAATTTAAAGGAATCCATAAAAAAATTTGCTGTTTTTAAGGCAAGAGATAATTGAATTAACATAGATTCAGTTAAAATATCAAAAAATGTGTGTGTGAGAATATTTATTATAAATAGAAAATTGGACATGAATTTATTAGGGATGTCAAATCTAAATACTTTGATCAATTATTTTAACTGTCGGTTATTTTAATCGCATTACAATGCAATTACAAAATTTAACAGCGCAGTCTGCCTGCACGCAGACAGAATGCGTTGCCTTTGCTGCAATCTCTGCGAAATTAGATAATGATTTCCTTTTTCCCAGATATTTCTGTCGCGACCATGACCTTAGAATAGAAAACGCTTCCCCCGTATAAAGTCAGATGTCTATGTATCATATTATTGAGTTATTTGCATGTTAAAACTCCATAATACAGCGGACCTCGTACAACACCATAAACAAATTAAATAATTTTACATATTAAGCAAATTACAATTACTTCTTAATAATAATTTCTGTCATAATTACAATTACTTCTTAATAATAATTTCTGTCATAATTCGAGATGCATTTATTTACAATATTTTTTAACTTGGAGAGGTGCGCCGTTAAACGCGAATTTACATTTTACAAGAATATAGACTTTGTCCTCGCGCGCGTATTTGAGATCAATCGTCTGGTTCAACGATGCAAAACGGTCAAAGCCGTAAATAGCGAAGTGCGAGGATATCCGAGTGCAACCTTCAGTAAGTTAAGTTCAAGCTGCATTTGACCTCAATGCAATAATTAAGAGCAATCAGTTCGTAAAGAATGTGCTAAACCCGCGTGCGTGTACAACGAATTTGCAATGGTAAATTGACACTTTTCCTTTATTCTATTGCTCCATATTTATGCCAATTGATTAGAGGTTTAACGTAGCAGACTGCTCCATCGATGTAGGTCGATTCTCACAGCTTTATGTTCTAATCCACCATGAGCCAAGTGAGCTGAGTGATATCTCATGCTTACCTAAAATTTAATTACTTTTAGTAATTTAATTATCTTTTAGTTAATTATAATTACATTATGACGTAACATCCATTTATTAAAAGAGAATAGAATCAACAATTACTTTATTAATTTCATGGAAGTAAATTAATAAACGTTACGTAAAAAATTTGTAATATGTAATTTATTTAATATTTGAAATTATAATATATTACCGCTCTTTTCTCTCTTCTGCTGCTTTATGTTAAGATAAAATTAATGATTACTTATTTGTACAAAATTTATAAAATTGTTATAAGGTTATAAATATATAAAGGTGTCCCGAAATTTTTTTTACCAAGCGTTCTTGTGTAGATAGAGCGAACTAAACTGAGTCGAAAAGTCCTCTATCATTTTGCAATTTTTGCAATAGTTAACAAGATATTAATTACTAAAAATCGCTGAATATCGGTTTTCAATAAAGTTTTACTCAAATACTATCAACTTTACAAAAAAAATAGCAAGAGACAAAAATTGTTTATTTTCTTCTCATAAAGTTCTGAGAACTTTTTCAGAATTTTTTAATATTGTATTTTCTCATGTTGGTAAAAATAGTTGCCAATGTATGTATTTAAGAAAATGCAGTATTAAGAAGTTGATAAAAAATTCTAAAAACAATTCTCAGAACTTTATGAGAAGAAAATAAATGATTTTTATCTCTTGCAGTTTTTCTGTAAAGTTAATAGTATTTGAGAAAAAATTATTAAAGTCCAATATTAGGCACTTTTTAGTAGTTAATATCTTGTTAATTATTGCGAAAATTACAAAATGATAGAGGACTTTTCGAATCAGTTTAATCCGCTCTATCTACACAAGAGTGCTTGGTAAAAAATTTCGGGACATCCTATATAATTTAATAAAAATAATATATAAAAATGTTTTAGCGACACAAACGAGTCAAAAGAAATGATCATGGAAGTCTCGGAGAAAGAATGTTTACGTATGGAACCGATTGACTCTCAAAGTCCTAATAAGTATGACTAAATAATATTGAATAAATTGGAACTCGAAATTACTTCTGCATGAATGTATAAATATATAAATATATAAATATATAGATATATAGACATATAATCTATATAAGATAGTTGTATTCATTTAAAAGCAAAATACTTTAACTTTTCGTTAACCATTTCTGTCACAACATTGTCATTTAAAAATTTATACGCAGGGAGAACAACGAAGTCACTGCAGATTGTGTAAATAATACTGATGGTATAAATAATGTTGAAAATATGTTATCTCAAATTGAAGATACAGATTATGATCCTCATATGCATCGGAATAGACCAAATCCAACTTCGTAAGTACAAAATAATGAGCGCGTTCAAGTTAACAAAGCGACTAGCCTGCTCACCGAACAAATGAGCATAATTAGTTATTACTTATAGATCCAACCAATCATATTCAATCGCTCGGTAAGCATGCCTAGTCGCTTTACCGTTTTGAACTCGCCCAATGATTAATTATGTTAAAAGATGTTGTATTTAAAAAAATATAATATATTGTGTAAAAGAAAATATTTTTTTTTAGAAATTTTGAAACCCTGGTTCATCTACTGAAAGGCAGTTTGGGCACGGGGATTTTAGCAATGCCGAATGCATTTTACAATAGCGGTCTGGTGGTCGGCGTCATTGCTACAGTTATCATAGGTGCATTGTGCACGTACTGCTTACACGTACTCGTAAAGGCGCAGTATAAATTGTGTAAACGGTTAAAAGTTCCTATATTGAGCTATCCGCTTAGCATGAAATACGCTCTGGAGAAAGGTCCTCGATGCGTGAAATGGTTTTCACCCTATGCACCGTAAGTATCGTCCATTTATAGTTTAGCCGATATAATTCCGTAATGTGCTCATTAGTATAATGAATATAGGACTGCAATCGCACACTCGGATATTCTAACATCAATCTTTTGAAGAAGAATAACAAACAAATAAAGTTTATATACATATTTATATATATACATTTCTTGTACGTACGTAAAATATTTATCATACCAAACTCTCTCTCTATCACAACATGTTAAATAAATAAACAAGATAAATATATATTTTATTCAAAAACAGATATATACAATTGTAGAATAGTTTGCGATAATAAATATAAAATATTTTTATTACTATATATTTATATGTGCAATTCTAGAATTTTTGCAAGTAACTAGAAATTAATTTAAACTGAATTCAGTTTATTTGAAAATAAGGTCTATGCCTTATTTTCAATTTATTACTAATTATGTGAAATGACAGAAAATAATAGAAAATAGTGTGAGGAAATATTAGTACAAACTAGTATAAATGAGACATTTATTATAGATAAATTTACTAAAAATAATGAACATGAGCATTATTTTGTCGCTGCGTCCTATATAGAAGTTAAAAAAAGATTGCTACACGAGATGAAAGTATAATTATTTTTCCGAGTTTTGTGTGTTACAAAGCATGCACGAATTCGTAGTTGAATCTTGAAAATGTTGTTATTTCCAGAGGACTCGTAGACGGGTTTATGATAACGTATCAATTGGGAATTTGCTGCGTTTATATCGTGTTTGTAGCATCAAATATCAAACAGGTAAATCCATGATGGCAATAAGAAAAAACCAAATCGAGGAATCGATTGTCCCTGTAACACGCTACGTATCGAGAAAGCACTTCGCTGATCGACAACAAACTTTAACTATCGGACCCTCGTCTGATGGACGGGAGCAGCGCATTCATTGTAATTTTATTAACGAACGCAGGTGACAGACCAGTATTGGGCACCTTTGGATATTTCAACCCATATGCTCATTTTGTTGCTTCCGCTGATTTTGATAAACTACATTAGAAATCTGAAGTTATTGGCGCCGTTTTCCACGCTAGCAAACTTAATTACGTTCGTTGGACTCACCATGATTCTTATAAAGTATATGTTTCAAGATCTACCGCCGATCAGCGACAGGGAGATGTTTGGTACATTAAGAAATTTTTCCCTCTATTTTGGAACGACGTTATTTGCGTTAGAAGCCGTCGGTGTGGTAAGTCTAGAAAAGATATATTCTTCTTAGAGTTGCGACCAATACATAACAATCTCCCTCGTCTCGGGAAATAAAAATCTTTTTGTATGTATGTACGACAGAAATTAACATATGGAGAGCCATATGCAAAGGTCCCAGTAAACACATAATCGTTATAATTAATAATGTAATTGCTCGTATTTGTTATTTATCATAATGTTCTTAATTATAATTATTTATTAAGATATTTTCAAAGCTTCATTTTTGTTAAATCTATTTATCTCATCGTAATATTGAAATATTAAGCGTATAATTAAAGATAAAATTCAAATTTAGGAGTACTAAATAAATAAAAAATTCGCTTGCTTGTGCTATTGTTAATGTCGTAATGATATTTAAAAAAAATTAAAATTATAAAAAGGACTCTCAAAAATACAAAAAATGTAGGAATCAAGACTAATGAGTATAACGGGATTAACGGTACGCAAGTAATATACAAACGCAGTAATATACAAACTTATATTATAATTTTATTGTGTTATCTTGATGTCATCCACAATTATCTTAATGTCATCCACAATTAATTAAACGTTTTGACTCTATTTTGAGTTATCTTCAACAATTATATACAATTAGTAATTAATATTTTATTCATTAATAGTTCATCCTTGGTGCGTCAGGATTGAATCACAAACAAATTGCCAAATTTGAACGTGGCATAGATCTGTGACGAAATCAAAGATTTGTCTTGAAACCTTTAATGAGCATCAAATAAAATTAACTTATATAATTAATAAAAATGTACAATGTATTCTTTAAAAGTATATATAACATAAGTTTGTATATTACTACGTTGCACACCGTTAACCGCGATGTACTTTCATTAGCCTTGATTCCTGTGTTAAAAAAAAAATATATTATTGCTACTTAGATTATAGCTCTGGAGAACAACATGAAAACACCACAAAGTTTTGGAGGCTATTGTGGTGTACTAAATATAGGGATGACTGTGATTGTTATCTTATACATAGCTATAGGTCTTTTCGGCTACATAAAGTACGGATCCGACGCCAAAGGAAGTGTCACTTTTAATCTGCCGCCAGAAGAAGCGTAAGTAGAAAAAAAATTTTTAATTTCAAACAAATTAGATAATAAGATAAATCAAGAAACTGTAATAATAAATAAATTTCTTATAATTATTGTCATATAATGAAACTATCTTGATTTTATCTATTAAAATATAGAAAAATGCGAAAGAACGTTGAAATGATCTAAAATCATTAAAGAAATTCAATATAACAAATAAAGAAAATTTCTCGAATTAGCTTTAAATATAATTAAGGTCTAGATGTAATCTAAAATAATTGAATCATTTTCTCTATTATATTGCAAATTTTATTTTAAAAAATCTTATTTATTGCAGTATGGCTCAAAGTATTAAAATAATGTTTGCGATCGCTATATTTATAACATATGCCCTGCAAGCCTACGTACCTGTCGAAATTTTGTGGACCACCTATTTAGATCATCGAATACAAAACCGCAAAATTTTATGGGAATACGCTTGTCGAACCTTTGTTACCCTAGTCACATGTAAGTAATATTAATAATAAATTTTATTTTAGCCCCAAATAATTATGTAATTATTAAAATTTTTTAATTATTAATAATAATTATTATAAATTTCCAAGAGACATTAAATAATATTACGAGAATTAATATGAAAAGTTTCGCTTGCGATTAAAAGTACTTACATAGTGATGTTCAAGTGCTTAAATTCATATAAAACAGATATCAAAATTGTATAAATTTGAAGGTCCCTTTGAAGATTCTCAGATATCTAATCTTTACGGTCTTTATCATTTTCAGTTATCCTGGCGATCGCTATACCGAGACTCGGCCTATTTATCTCCCTCTTCGGCGCGCTCTGTCTGTCCGCCCTCGGCATCGCTTTCCCGGCTATTATCGATATATGCGTCTCGTGGCCGGAACACGATTTCGGTCCCTTCAAAATCATGTTAATCAAGAACTTCCTCCTGATCGTGTTCGGCCTGCTGGGTCTCGTGGTGGGAACCTACGTTAGCATCGTGGAAATAGTAAAATCCTTCAAGCCAGTTTTACAGACAGGTTTGCCGTCCCTATAGAGGCACCGACATCTAGCGTGACTTCGTTAATTTATAAATTTGATAAAAGGGAAAATGGATAAAAAAAATGATTTATACCCCCGCATTAGCTGGTAAAAACATTCAATAATCTTTAATAAGCAGTGGCAGATTAACCATTTTGCTGCCCCTAGGCATCAACATCTATCCATTTCAAGGTGGCTTCAATCATTTATAATTTTGATAAAAGGAAAAATAGTTTAAAAAAAGATTTATATCCCCGCATTAGCTGTTGAAAACATTTCATAATCTATAAATAATCTTCATAAATAATATAAATAAAATACATTTTTTAACTGTATATTTATAAGATATCGTTTTTGATCAAATATGCTCGGTGTAGCTCATGCAAAAACGTTAGATTAACAAATTAAAAATTTATCTCAACCGTGTAAAAACTTTATGTTTTCAAAAATTTGCCACCCTAGGCTAGTGCCTTGTTTGCCTATGCGTTAATCCATCACTGCTTCAAGCATTGAAGAACGTAATATAATAGATGCGCGCAAATATTTCCCGAAGCAGAGAGAAGTACGACACACAGCTTATGAACAAACAACGATGTCAACCATGTCGAAAAGCAAACTAGTTCTTAAGCTTGTCCCTTTTTCTTTTTCTATCTCTCTGTCTTTCTTTCACCGCCATGAATTTACTTAGATCTTAAGTAGATAATAAAAAAGAAATAGACGTGATAGCTTGTCGAAGAGCACTCGAAATCTCGCGACAACAACCCTCGATCGCAAATAATCGGGTGGTTCGATCTGTGATGAAATCTCTCCTAAGCATCGATAATGTATCGGAAGACGTCATCTCACGCGGGTCGTTGTTAAAGATTTTTATTACCCACTTTAGAGAAGTGCATATTTTTATTCTTATACGTCAACCGGACCGTGCGTATACTATATGTGTACATATGTACGTACATCGTATACACACTGTACATACGAATGGTTCACTCTAGTACATATAAAAATGTCACGTCTAAAGCGGGTTTTTTAATACATGTTAGTGCATACGGATATTGAGCAAATATTCGGGAAGAATTTTTTAATTAGACATTTTTATAAAACATTTGCGCTTAAGCTTCTTATCTCGGTGATACGAGTACTTAGAGACAGCTGGCATTCATTATTTTTTTTTGTAAAGTGAATGTCGCAATAATCGATACTCGTGCGACGTAAATTCTTCAGGAATTGGAAAATTTTAAATACACATACTTTGTATTCAAATTTTATATATATACATTTATATTAATGAGACCGAAAAGAATTGTTAAACCGGCTTATTGACATTTAATAAAATTAACCTGAAACACAAATTTAAGTAAAATTAGAGTTTTTGTTTATTTTTTTTGTATATCATATTGGATCCTTCTCATATTGATGATCACTTTAGAGAAAGCCATTCTGTGACTATGTGATTTACCCATCAAAGAAGTACCCTGAAATTAAGGGCTTTTTTATTTTAAATTTTTTTAATGATTTAGAAAAAATAGAGTAGTTTTTCAATGCCTTCTCTGTTTTTTTGTCAAAATGTATGATTAAACATACATAAATAAACATAGATAATGATTATTGCGATATTCTAATTGCGAGAAATGTCTAAATGTTATATTGTCAATAGGAAACACTTTAATTTCTATATGAAATTTTTATAATACTCAACAATTTTAGAATTTTATTTAACTTCAAAGTGTGTATGTGTGTGTGTGTGTGACGTGCTAATCGATATAACGCATTCTGAACTTCAAATCTTCTGACTTTTAAATATGGAAATTTATATGTTTAATTTTAGAAGATTTATCAATTTCTAATCGCAATTCTAAAAGCTCATAATCAGATTTCTTTACGAAGAAAGAGATATCGACGAATTGAATTGAGATATCAAAGAAAAATTTCATCTTTTTGCTAAAGAGAAAAAAAACATTGTTTCAACAAAGCCAATGTTGGAACATTAAAAATGAAAGTACACATGAAAGTTATATACATTGAAAGTAAGTTGTTATTATTATAATATACATGCGTTCCATTTTCTACGGATGAAATTTTAATAACTGCTCTTAGATGCACGCTGCAGGGTAAATAAAAATATATTAAAAAATAAACATAAAAATTAATGCATGTGAAAGCGAATCTACATCTTAATTATTTTAAATTATATTTATAATATGAATCTTTTATAAATTTATAGTATTTATATATATAAGTACATAAAGGCTACGTAAAAGATCCATAAATTTGTTAAAACAACAGAAAATTAGAATAATTATATAAATATCGTGTTCTTTTTTATACAATTCAAGTGTTCCGTTACGATGGATATAGGATTTTATGTCAAGGTTTATCTCTATTACATAATTTTGCTTATATAAATAATTATGTATGATCATGTATTATTTTATGTGAAATTGAATTTTTTCATGAATATCGAACAATACGATTACTTTTCTCTTTGAAAGAAATTTGTAGTTTTCGTATATATCATAAACATGTTATTCTTATTTTATATACAAAGTAGTCCATTTAACATGTATATTTTAATATTTTTGTTATTTGGAACAAAACAAATTGTAGTTATAAAATTTTAAGATATTTTTAAGAAGTATTCGTAATGTATTTATTAGTAATATTTTTATGCATAAAAATAGTAGCTTGAGTTTCTTTAAATAGAATATTACATTTTTTTATATAGCATGATTCTTCTAATTATTCTGTATACAAATGTATAAAAGTAAGATTATCAAAAGATAAAAAAAAGTTAATGAAATATTTTATATTTAATATTTCTATAAAATATTAATTTTGAATTATCTTATTTTGTATCTCTCTTATATAAGAAACCATTTCACTTAAAAGAATAAAAAATTGCTCTTAAAATTTTATTTAGGCTACGCTACGAGAACAAAATTATCGGTTATATTACCTGCTCCTCGAAATCTTAAAATACTGTAGTTTTAATTCTTACCTTTATTATTTAAAACGGCAAAAATATTTAAAGTACACAAGTTAAATAAACTATCTTGTACAATGTACATTATAATATTTTTTCTCTTTGCTCACATAGAAATGAGAAGAATCTTGTAAGTAGAATAAAAACTGTCAATCGATATAATGTTAGACTGAAAAAAATATCACTATGTTGTAATCGCAAATGTAAAACATAGACTGAGAAAGTAATATTGCAAGCTGAAAGTAACTTTTAAAAATCACGAGACGTTATTGTTAAATAGTGTCTATGATATGTACTATTATTATGTTATTGTTGAATAGTGTCTAAATACTCTTATCTAAGCAAATCTTAAATTAGCTTTAAGCTTTAAGGAAGAAAAATATATGGGATCTTGTTAGAAATAAAAATTATATTGATATTTTTAATAAAAATATGTCACGCAAAACTATAATAGTTGAATATTGACTGTCATGCATGTCACGAGCGTTATCACTGATAAAAATACGTTGCCTCGTTCTGAGATTTGTTATCAAGATAGTGTAGTATAACACAAAATAGGATGATTTAAAATCAGCAAAAACTAGAGAAAGCCTATCGCCAGTAGTGAAATATGTAGAGGCGATAATAACTATTGCGCTAATAGCTGTGACGCAAGTTGTAGATTAGTAATGATCTCACGAAAAAGGAACAAATGTAAAATACATTAAACATAAATAAATATACCTAAATATACCGTTTTATACGTGAAAAAAAAAAGGAAAATAGTTCCTGTGTGTTCTTAATCCCTGAATTAATGTGTTGTCAATTATACATATAACATACTTAACAATTAATTAAACATATGACATCTTAAGCATCCGTCTGCATATTCTTACTCTCTCTTATCTGCAATCTGAGTCTTTTTTGCCCAAATTTAAATTTTTTTCTGTTCTAGGCTTAAGAAAATCTGGAATAAGGGATTATTCAGAGTTATTTTCCAAAATCCCTATTAAATTATCAAATAATTTTTTAACTCATATTTTAAGAAAGAAGAACTGCACCCCATCTTTTTTCATAAAACTTTGTTTGTCGCAAATAAAAAAGTAAAAAGGTTAGATTAAAACAATTTTTGGTAAATGTTCCCCTTTACACAGCCAGCCCTAAATGACCTCCGAGTGACCTTGACCTTAAAGGTCAAGGTCATTAACCTTTTCCGTCGCTCATTATTCATTAAAAGTTATTAACGAAAACGTTTTTATGAATAGGACACTTTTTCAACACGACATACATTTTCCAACATGAAGAATGTATACATTTTATTTATTTCTTGACGATACATCATTTAATCATAAATATAAAAAAGCCATTAATTTAAAAAATTGCGGTATTCTATCATTAAAATCATATCGTTTTTTAATAAATTCTACTAAATAATGTTCGTAGGGTCCTTCTGGTACACCAAATCGTGATAAAGCAGAACGCATATCATGCCATAACCGCTCAATATTTTGTGTATGTACACCAGATTCAGGGTCAATAAAATTAATAGAGTGATGAATGGTCTAATGCACATAATCGAGTTCTTTTAAAGATACATATCCTTTCCACGAATCACTGCAAATTATACTGCCTGGTGCAACACGTTCCTGAATTATTCTCGTTAATATTTATGCAGTACGATCTTTCTCAGGAACAATAAAAAAAGATTTACTGCTACGTTCAATAGCACCAAAAATACATTGCTTCAATTATTTCTTCTATTATATTTATTTTTCTATTTTATCTCCTTTTACTTTACATTTTTAACCCGTTTATTTATTTTACACAGAAAAAAATTTTTTATTGTGATAATTTTTCTGCAACCAAGCTGTTGAAAGCATGAAATGTTCACAGGAATAAAATCTTTATATTAACATAATGTTAGTTTTAATACATTCGATGTTCTTTGTCATGGAGTGAAAAACATGATTATAAGGAAAACTTTTAATAACTTTTCTTCGTAGCGTTTTTATGAATATGCATTTATTACACACAGAGGATAAATACAGATTTTTGTATCTGAAACGGAGAGAAAAGCAAATATTTTTGGAGAATCGATATCGCAAATTCAAAGGTTACAAATACATTAAGTGATCTAGAAAAAAATTATTGTAAAAATAAAAGTAAAATAAAATTTTTACAGCATCGGCCAGATCAGATTAGCAGCGACCAGCGTAGAAAAAAAGAGTCTAAATTCGACAAAGTAATCGCAATCATTTCAACGCTGAAAATTGAATAATAATGCTACGTCGGC